CCAGTACGAGAGTTCGCGCCGAGTTATTTCGATGACGTATTCATCCATAGTCGAGCTATGGATGGAAAGTCGGACGTTGAGGTTCACAGGTACCACGTCCGACAAGTTCTTACAATCATGCGAAAGCATCAATTGTATGCAAACCTCAAGAAGTGTATATTTGCAGCAAGCGAAATACCACTTCTTGGGTGCATCGTTGGTAAGAACGGTGTACGTCCTGATCCCGAAAAGATCAAGGCGATCACCGACTGGCCTGTGCCGGTCGATGTCAAAGGTCTTCGAAAATTCCTTGGGCTAGCGGCGTATTTGCATAAGTATTCACGCAATTACGCCGAGATGACTGTGCACCTCTCTCGTTTGTTGAAAAAGAACGAGAGGTGGTTATGGAACGCTGAATGTCAACGCTCCTTTGAGGGTATCAAGCAGAGCTTGATACAATCCCCAGTCCTAGCAATAGCCGATCAGGACAGGCCATTTCATGTGGTCTGTGATGCCAGCGATTTCGCAATCGGCTGTGCATTAATGCAGTACGACCTTGAAGGCGTTGAACGCGTCGTCTGCTATCAGTCGCGTCAGCTGCAACCAGCTGAGCGGAACTATCCAGTGCATGACAAGGAACTCCTTGCCATGAAGTATGCACTAGCGAAGTTCAGAGTCTATCTATTAGGAGATAGACCCTTCGTTGTTTACACTGACCATGCGTCCTTACGCACGGCAGTGAACAGCCCGCACCTTTCACAACGAATGGCGCGGTGGTTGTCATTCTTTGCAGAATACAACTTTACGGTCGAGTACAAACCAGGACGACTTAATGTCGTCGCTGATGCACTCTCACGTCGTCCCGACTTTGAAACAGTCGCGAAACCCAACAGTGAGACAGTCACTGTTGCGGTTATGACGTCCTCAGTTCCATCTACAACGTTGTATGATGATGTGAGGCGGGCATACGCCCAAGATGGTGAGATAGTGAAGTTGTTGTCACATCTCTCCCAACCATCTCGAGAATCGTTGAAACGATTGTCGTCTGCGTATCGATCTGCATCAGATCGATACACTACTCGCAACGGTTTACTGTATTATACAGCCGTTTCTGGTGACACACCACGTGTTGTCATTCCAGATGATACTGATCTGCGTTTGCGGATCATGTTCGAGTATCACGATGCTCCTATAGGAGGACATCGTGGCCGAGAGAAAACACATCTCACGGTAAGTCGAGACTTTTACTGGCCCCGCCAGTATCAGTTTGTGCGAAAGTATGTTCGCGCATGCGAAGTCTGCCAACGAGTGAAGTCAAGTCCTTCACTGCGTGCACCTTTACAGCCTCTACCGGTTCCGGCTGAGTGCTGGGAATCCATCTCAATGGATTTCGTCTTCGGGTTACCCAAAGACGCACGCGGGAATACGGGTATTCTCGTATTTGTTGACAGACTCAGCAAAATGGTACACCTTGTGGCTGTACCAGAGACAATCACGGCAAGTGGCTGTGCTTGTGTCTTTATTGACACCATCTTCCGACTTCATGGGTTGCCCCGTGAACTCGTATCAGACAGAGATCCACGATTCACTGCTGATTTCTGGCGTTCCGTGTTCAAATCACTCGGAACGCGCTTGAAGATGTCAACATCTGATCATCCAGAGTCAGATGGTCAGACGGAACGTGCCAATCGTGTCCTTGAAGAGATACTTCGAGGATACGTACACTCCTTTAAGAGTTGGAGTGAGTTTTTGCCGATGGTAGAGTTTGCCATCAACAACTCGGTGCATGCGTCCACGAGACATACACCGTTTTACGTGAATGGCTTGCGCCATCCGCGTGTACCCACCTTACTAGAGTGTAACTCTGGTTTAAGGGGGAGGGACTCGCGCGAGCAAAAACCGATTTGGTTCACGCTCATCACGCTCTGACGAAGAGGTCATTGCGTTTGATGCCGATATCGATAACATCGATATCGAAGAAGATGATGCCAGTGAGAGTGCGGAAGCCCTCACTGAAGACAATGATGCCAGTGAGAGTGCGGAAGCCCTCACTGAAGAAAAGGTTGTTGTTGCTGCAGTGCGCTCACAGCACACTGAAGCTAACGAGTCATCAGATGAGTTCATACTGGCTCGTGAAACGGTAGTCCGTTTTGTGCAAGACTCCATCGCCGAAGCGGTGGATAAGCAAAAGCAAAACGCTGACAAGAATGGAAGGGCAAACACTCTTTTATTTAATAAAGGTGACTTAGTCCTACTGTCTACGGTTAATCTACCAAAACATGTAGTGACTAACTTGGGTAGCAGTAAACTACTACCCAAGTACATTGGCCCATTTCGTGTATTGCACCACCTAGGCAATGCATACACGATCGAGTTACCACGTAAGATGCGAACGCATCCCACGTTTTACGTTGGTCGGGCTCAAGCCGTACCATCAGTACGCTGCTTCTTCCGATGAAGAACGCCCTTGCGCTCAAGCATCTCGCAGAGAGCCTTGTGCTCCCGATGGTGGGCATCAACAAGGGTCTGAAGAGCAGTTATCTCAGCCCGAGACCGATCAACAATCCCACGAGCTACCCTTAGCTCGTCACGAAGAGATGTCAGAGATCTCTCGTTCTCAAGCTGAGCAAAGGCAAACTCAGCTCGATGCTTCGAGGCAGTGTCCACCATCTGGAGACGCCTATTCCGCTCATGCTCGAGATCGTCGCGTAACCCTTGCGTTACGCGATCAAAGAAGCTCTCGGGAACACACCGATCCACATGATCGTGTGGAGAGCGTCTTTCCTCCTCCTCCACCTCCATTAGAGGACTCTCGCGGTGGCCAGCGCTATCTAGTTGAGCAGCTGTTGAACCACCGCGACGTGAACGGACGTCGGACGAGTTACCTCGTCCGGTGGCGCGGCTATCCCCCGTCCTGGGATTCTTGGGAGCCCCGCTCCCAATTAATGGTTGACGTACTGGGTCTGGTCGAGCAGTACGACGCGGCACATCCTGTGCCGCAGAAGGACCGCCGGAGAAAGTCTTCCCGGCACGGTCGTAAAGGGATTTCAGGTTGTCAATCCCTTCGTACATCTCAGTAGAGACACGTACGCGCCACCACGGGCTGGTAAGGAGGTAAGCCTCCTTAGGTGCTCGTGCAGAGTTGTTCACACAACATGGGCACGAGTCTCCCCAAGAGAGGCAGGGTAATCCTTTCTCCCTTGACAGACGATGCAGCTTGTAGCGAGCACCTGTCGGGGTTCGCTTTTCAAACTTATCACGAGCTTTGATAAGTTTGTCGTTCCAAGCGTCACGACCTACATCCTCGAGGTTATGGATGTAGGCGTTCCACGCCTGAAGTAGTGAGGGACCATCACGTTTGTGATTCCCACTGTACCATCGATGTCTGAAGAAAGCATCGATGAAGAACTCATGTTCAGCGCGATAGTCTTTCGCGCTGGGGTCAAGGTGATGGATCCTTGACGAATCGAACAATCGTGTTCGATAACGATCACTCGTCGTCGCCGACAAGTGATCCATGACAGATTTTGGAGGCATCCATGCCTTCTTTTCTGGAGCGAGAAGCAACACATTGCGGTCCCGCTCTTGCTGCGACGTGCCGACAGAAGTACTGGCACCTCGCTGTGAAGTGGTGTCCATTGGAGAACCGACACCACTATTAGCGCCCGAGTCTCGCGACCTCGAGCGCCTTCGCTTCGGCGATGGTTCATCTGACTCATCAGATGAACCAAAGATGCTGCGACGCAAAGCATCGTCCATGCCACGCTTGGCAGGCGGCTTGGATTCAATTGCCGTCGATACGGATCCGTCATCCGTATCAGGAGAGTACGAGACACCGAGCTCGTACTCTGTGAAGACACGAGTGTCTTCATGACCAGCGCTTGCATCACCAGGTGATACAGGCTGAGTCGATTCAGCAACCGATGGGATATCAGTTGCTGTAGTTTCTGCTTCGGCGTCCGCACAGAGACGTGCAGACGCGCTCTCGGCGGCCTTGCTCGCGCATCGCATGGGCTTGTTTACCATGCGATGAGATGTTGGAAAGTGGACGCGGACCAACAAGTGCAAACCCCGTCCCAAATGATTTGGGACGAGTATCCATTTAGTCAATCAGTCACTAAAGTGACTGATGGTTAAGGGGGGTGATGTAACGGGGTGAATCGTTACATAACAATTTATAAGAAATTGTTAATAGAATATAACTATAAGAGTTATATTCTCAGAATATTGTCATAAGGACAATATTCTGTAGCACTTCCAAGTAGTTCCTAATTGGTTGATATAGGCCATTATATCAACCAACGAAGACGCGCCACGACAGACGCACGCAATGAGTGGTGAGCAGATAACTGATTTACACATTTGTATTTAGACATAGTTAGATGAAGATAAATAGTGATTTATTGCAGACATTAACTATTATAAATACAGTTCTACTTTTTACTCTAACCGAGTACTCGCTTCTTCTTACCGTCTTCCTCTGCACGTACGAGTGTACGTGAAGTTACGAGGCACCGCCTTATTCTGTTATCAGAATAAGTAGCTTGTACTGTCACCAGTACAAGCTTCAGGGTGCCCCGTTACACTTTGTGGGCTACGAGGCCTGAGCTCCGTATAGCGCGCGTCATTATTACGTTATGTGGACTGTCCTCTCATTGCAAGCAAAATGCATCCGGATAGTTCTCGTCCAATAAGTACCATCGACGTAAGACTTCGGCGTCCCTGCCAGTATGCTTTTGAGCCTTATGTTGTGCTCGTAGTCCATGTAAGACTTCGGCGTCCCTGCCTGTATGCTTTTGAGCCTTATGTTGTGCTCGTAGTCCATGTATCCTCTGTGTGGAACTTGTCTGTAACGTTCAGGAGACGTGGTTGTGTATCACGTAGCAGCAACAGACTCCAGGTTTTCAGCTTGTCTCATTCGCGTGAGCGATACCAACGATAACGAGTCCCGACAATCATACAGCAGAAGCTGCGAGTAATTCTCGTTCCACGGCGGTAGTAACAGTCTAGAAGGCGCGTGTCTACTTGCACTCGTGTGGTCGAGCACAAAGCATTTCGTGTAGATCATCGTGCTTCGCACTGCTCATCGTCTGGTTTCCGCCTGCACCACTTGGAAGCTCCTTACTCACATGCGAAAACGCGGCATCGTGCACGCCACTCTGCCGCATCATTTGTCGCTGCATCGAAATGCTGACAATTGTTCATCGTAACCGTTTGTCGTCGGCGGCTCCGTCTGCTTTGTCTTTCGCACGACTTTCAGCAACAACAGTTGATACGCCTCATCAAACACTAGCTTGGCAAATGAAGTATCCTCGGTGGGCTTGGCGAGAATGGTACCTGATAGACTTAGCCAACTTCTGATAGTCAGTCTATAGCTACGGCCCGAAGTTTGAACACTCGCCGAAGGTAATTGAAAGAAGAACAAGACAAACCAATAGACGTGTAGGAAATGGCTGGTCATCCAGCTTCTCTGTGGATACGTGTAGCCGCTACGTAGCCACAGCCGAACATGACACTACAGCACAGACAACAGCTATGCCTACACACTTTTACGAGTCAAGTCTCGACTCGTACGATAGCGCTGCAAAATCGTCGCTCTATCACCATTCTTCCTTCAGACTGAGCATTCCCAGAGGAGAAGATCCAAGTGACGCGAAAAGAATCGACAATGCTGCTCTTCTCTCTGGAAGGAAATGGTGTTGGTGAATCCAGCGCCTGGAATGCAACGTCAGCTTGACTGGCTTAACGAGCTGTACGAAGGAGAAATGATCATTGCTTGTCAAAAGATTTGAGTTCGCAAGTACTCAAAGAATACCTGTCGCTGGCATTCGTCACTAAAAGAAGCACACATCGCTCGCAACTACTTGTAGAAGCCTCTCTTTCATCCAAAAGCAGCGTGTCACGCAGAGCAAGGACTCTGATCTGGTCTACCGGAGCTCTATCGTTCAATCAGTGCCAAAGATATAGTTGCTTCAATCAGTTTTGCACTTGACTGGTGTCAACTGTGAGAGACTATCGTTTGAACTCAATGACCAAAGGAGCGGTCAGTCCCTACCGCAATAGCTTTGACTATGATGCATACAGCACAACTGAGCTTTAACAAGGCTACATGACTTGTACAGACCTGCAACGCATGCGCCCGTATTCTAGAGTTGTGTACGAGACTGTCAAGCGGATCATTAGAAATGTCCAGACGGATATACGACGGGGAAAATGAACGATAAAGCTGCACAAAAGAAGCTTTACCACTCGATCAGTGTGATCAACATGAGGACGAGCCTGTCTTGCCGTACAAGCGTCGTTCGTCTAATTGCAGCGTCGCGGTCGTTCATCGGCATATGATCGGGATGGTTCATTTATCTCCATGGAATGGCAAAGCCTGTGACACAATCTGCCTTCGGCAACGATTAGCGGGATATAGAGTCAAGCAGCAAAGCACTCGAAGAGCTATTCAGAGAACGCAGCAATCAAGCGTCTGCTGCTCCATTAGTCCTGCGACCGTCGCAAAGTCAGTGATAGATACTGTGGTCACAGTCATTCGTTGACTTGACCGTAATAATTGGAGCGGAGTGACATGCGTTGCAGCCTGTCCTGACACTTGCAGCCTTCAATTGTTTCTACAGCGAGCTCACTTTGTCCAGGGCCGTCCCGCTCATGCACAAACTATACCAACTCATGACAGGTCACACACACACCCTCGCACTGAACTCTGACGTTAGATGCGTAGGCATCCAAGAGTGCACCAAGCAGTATCTAGTGTGGGTTGTATGGGTACCTTTACAATCTGCGTAGTGAGCACGTCTGGACATGAGGACGTGCGCGCAGATGAAGGGATGAAGTCGAGCCATTCACACGTGACTCTACAGAAGCTGACAGCGTAGTATGATTTGCATCCTGTCGATCCAACAGTTCAGCTCGGCGTTCTCTCTCCACTCTAAATGATCATCGATCGGGCGTCCAGGTACACTGCAACGCCCTCTCTAGAAAGGCGAGCTGGTCAACGAGATACTGTAGTAGCTCCATCTCGCCGTGGAAGCAAACCAGCCACTACGATCGATGACCTTGTTCTGTCTCCACACATCTCTCTAGACCAGGGAGTAAAGACTGCGACTTCAGCTGTGGTACGTGTCTGAGATACCTGCTTATTCCATCGCGTAACAGCTCAAACGTTGATAGGACAACAACGTGCAAACAGATTGTCGTGCTATAGATAAGCTGACGGAACGACGTAGCTTCGCTTGACCCGAAAAGTCGGTGGCTTACATGTTTACGAGCGCCACGTGTAGCATAAAGGCGAAAGTCGGTATAGAAGCGGAACGAAAGAACGGGGCAGAAAGCTGGTACCGCCTGCGTTAAGTCGCTCCATACATTCACAGTGTTGTCAGCGCCTCTGCTGACGCCAAATACGTCCAGCGCCCAGTAACTGTGGCCTTTACGTCGCCTCCGGCTCTCGATGAGCGATTACGTCGGACCCATTATGCCCCATTTTGAGCACCCTCGCCGCATCGGACTGCAAATGCGGGTATACTTTGCACAGTAATTGCACAAAGTGTTGCCTTTTTTGATGCCCATCTTGAATTCGTGTCGCAGACAGACCCACTTTCGGCCTCGCAGCCTTAACAACGAAAGGTTTCAGCGACTCCCGTTCCGTTAGGAGAAGCGCGAGCCTCTCCCGTTGTCATGATGGCATCCGACCTTTCTCCACGAGCGACCGGTCGAGCAACTACTGCCACCCGTCGCAAAGCAGACAGGACTAGAACGGCGTTTACCATCTTTATCTACCAGCGCGCAGTATGGGTTACCTCCCTAAGCACCATGTTTTTTCTCTCTCATTACCTGCTGAATCAATCAGATACATCGCGATCGAATTCGGGTCAAAGCGGTCTGACCAGCTGAATAGGAACTTCGTTGGATCAGTGGACCGACCGAACGACTGCGGACGATCAACTGACTACCACTGACGTCTTCGTATGGACACTCTACAGTGTCACGCTTTTTGCTGTGGAAGGTGCAAGTTGTCCGCCGTGATCACACGAAGGACGGCTTTTACATGTGAGAGAGCAAGGCCTCTCGTGATCAATCGTTCCAGCACGTTCAAGGGCCTGTCGAAGCATTGGGTCAATCGTTGATAGACATTTCGCAAGCTGTGGCATGTCTGTTGTCGCCTTCAGCTGTTCGAGACAAGTGTTGAACCTACGAGTTGATCGCCATCACGCAGACGTGATCGACACGGCGTTTCGTAGCATTACGCTACGCTCGAAACAGTCTGGCAGGAGGAACGTGGCCGCTCTCGAACGAAAAACACACCCACGCACCCTATCGCTTCTCTGCCTGCAACATCCCCTTCCTCCTCGCGTCGCAAGAAGCTGTGCACACGCCCCAAGCCAAGTCTCGCAAATAGTCAGAAAAGCCCGACCTCTCTGCTCGTCTTTTCGCGTGGGAGACAGCTCTTCCTGCGTTTCAGCTGGGATTTCGCCTTGTCACAAGGCCACAGAGCCCGGACGCTTCGAGCTCTTCGAGTCCGAAGCCGTAGCTTTGCTGCAAAGAAAAGAGCCACGGCGTTTCCACACACACACAAAAGCGTCTACCACCAGGCCGTAAAAGAGCGTGCGGCCAAGTCAAGTCAAGTCAATTGTGAACTCGGTGGCCCCTCGTTCGGTTTCCAACTCGTCATTCCTCATTTCACCGCCTCCTTGCGCCTTTGAGACTCGTCGCAATAAATTCCTCGAGTCCACCTGAAATTCCAGCAGTCTCCGGTTTTCTTCGTCGTCTTTTCAAATGACACCTTCATCCACATCGTTCAACTCCATGCACCCGTTCGCTCGCACTCATCGGTGCCCCCCGAAACAACCGCTCGACTACTCGACCGTCCAGGTGTCGGACGTCCAAGAGGTGCCGCACCTCCCGCTCCAATGGCAAGCAGCGACACACCTCCCCGAACGTCGGATGATGGTCCGACGGATTCTTCAGCTGTCCCAAAGTCGTCGGAAAGATGACGTGAACCCTGGACGAGCCGTGCTGCTGGCCAAGCGCATTGAGTTGGCTTTGTATTCCCGGGCGGGCTCGTTGCTGGAATACAGCAACTTGGCAACCCTTCGACGACGCCTGCAGAGCCTCGTGGCCTCCAGTGTGCACGAAGGAGTTGCTCGTGAAATAGTGGCAACTGCGGGGGAGGGGTCCACCCGAAAGCGCCGAGTGGCTCCAAAAGGGGGACCCCAAGGTCGCTGCAGCTCCAACAAGCGCCAACGAGGCGCTGCTGCTGCTGCTGGTAATAGCTGTACAAGTTACAGTCTTTTTCCAAGTGTAGGGGAAGACTGTACCCGATTGATTTTCACCTATTTGGACGGTCAAGAGATCATGCGGCATCGTCAGCTCAATCGCTTTGCAGCAGCTTTTCTACCAACTTGTGTCCACCAAGTGGCGGTTGAAGTCGCGCACTTGGCTCACGGGTTCCGGCCATGCTCTTCTATGCTGTTGATGACGAACTTGCAGCACCTCGTGGTGCAGAAAGCTGGGACGTTGTCCTTGTCGCCAGCACCAGTGGGAACACTGGCCAAGGTCAGTCCCGTGACGTTGCCACTCTATGCTTGGGGTTGTGCGGAACTCCCCACGACGCAGTCGAACGACGGGGAACGCGTGGTGCTGGCTCTTGCTCATGCATTGAGCACCGGGGCGTTCCCTGCTTTGAAGCAGCTGGAGATGGTCTCGGTCTTTATCAATACAATGAGCTGCAATGGCCTTGGGGCGCTTTGCAAAGCCTTGGCCACTGGATGCTGTCCACTACTGGAAGACTTGCTACTGGCTGGAAATAGCCTGGCTGACCAAGGAGCCTACGAAGTTGCACGGCTATTGCAGTCGCATCGAGCTCCTCGACTCATTCGTTTGGACTTGCGCCGCAACTTTATTGGCGAGACTGGACTGCGTGCCGTGCTGGCTGCAATGACGCACACACAGTTGCGGCTTCAAGTGCTGTGTCTAGGAGGGAACCTTGTGACGGACAATTGTGTGAGTGAGCTGCAGAAGTGGTTGGCAGGTCAAGCTTGTCCGGTGCTTCGCTTTCTTGGCCTGGAAGACAACTTTTTGAGTGCTGAAGGGGCACAGGTTGTGCTCAAGACGGCAGCAGTCAACTCGAGCTCGGCAACAAGACCCCGTCGCGTGTCGTGCGATCAGGAGGTCACTGCATGAGGAGCGAACATGACATGATAGAGCTAGCAACAATAGGACACTGAATAGACTGGATTTACATGCACAAAATGCATCACCTGCATCACTCATTTGGTTACCTGCTAGAAGTCGACGGGCTCTAGCAGACACAATCGATCTCTTTTTCAGCTCATTCGCCAGCCATTGAATACCAAAGAACCTTACCGAGCAAAGGCTACTACAGTCAGGCTGTGATCCTGCAGTCAGGCTGTGATGTTAGTGTCTGTCTATTTGTGATGCATGCAAGACGCAGTGACTGTAAGACAGGCTAATACCGGACTATTCGTACCTGGTACTTTTACACTACGCACCAGAGCGAGAAACACCAAAGCAAAAGTAAGAATGACAAAGACATGGATAAGCTCACTAGATTGATACAAATGCAATAGATAGAGAGAGAGATGCACGTGGAGCCCCTTATTGATGATGATGATGATGATGATGATGGTTGGGCAAGAGGAGAAGAAGAACGTCCGGGTGAAGGAAGCCTAGCACCTAGTAATGGTCGTCGGGTGGCGTGGTCGACACGTACCATCCCCACTGTGGCGACGAAAGGCCTCCTCCATCTGCCTCTGGCAAGACTTGGTCCAGTTCCCGACACAACGAGGTGTCGTCCATTTCCAAGTTGCACAACCGACTCCTGCTTCGATCTCTTGATGGCGTCGACGCGTCGCTCTCCGTGCTACTGCAGACATCAGGAGCTTCGGTCGGGTTCTTGCAGGGGCTAGCTACCAACACGGGAACTTTGTTCGGAGCAATCTCGTCTTTCGTGGCGGTTTGCAAGTACGTCAAGACACTCACGGCCGTTGCTGCAGCAGCAGCAGCCACCGTGGCTACAAGTGGATGTCGTTGGGCCCATCGAATCCCGCCAGCGATCTCCGTGGGAGTGGGGAAGAAGGACGGAACGACAACGTCGGACATGAAGAGGAGCGGCAATAGGAATGTCCGAGGCAAAACAAGCCAACAAAGTTATTGCTTGATGGGCGAAGAATGCTGTTTTTTTTCGTCTTGGGAGCGGCCGGTCTTTGGTTGAGCTGCTTGACTTACGGAGACTCTCGAAGCAGCTGGACCCAATTATTGTGGTCGTCGTAGCGGAGACTTTACTGAATGAGGTTGCGGGTGTGCGCGACATGGTCGTTCGTTCCTGCGACTGACTACTGCAAGACAGCGACAAGTTCGAGACCTGCAGAATCGCATGACTTGTTGAACGAACTAGGATGGGGGGGACACGAGAGGCGATTAACGAGCTGTAGAAATGAATACCCTGACGCAATCGGTTGAGGATGCAGCATCTGCGACCGCAACAAGAAAGAAAGAAAAGGGATAGACTACAGCTTTTTTCGCGTCCTGATTGTGTTGCAGCTTGGATAATACAATCAGGCGAAAAGAAGTGGCACGAGAGGTGACCGTCAAGACGTCGTTGTCGTCATGCCAGGCCACAGAAAATGAGAGCTGAGTGCGTCCGGCATGAGGCAAGTTACCTGCAATATGACCAGCTCGGACTGGGGGACTGACTGGTTGCAACCCCTGGGAATTCACTTCGTTCGCTCCCATCAGTTGCCGTTTCTCAGCCCGGAGCTGTGTCAAGCCACACGAGAATATTTGACGGATCTTCAACCGGCGTCGTCCCCTAAACGAAACGCCGCAGGTTTTTGCAGTTGTCACCCGGTTATGAACAGACGCTTCCGCTCAGCTCTGCACTGTATCAGTATCGACGGCGATACCAGCCTGTAAACAACACATGGACTCGGATCAGCTTCTACACCGAGTCAAAGTCTGCCTTCATCTTTTCTATCGACGATCGCATCGGCGATGTGGTGAAGGAGCCTGTGAGTGCGAAATGAGTGCGGGAGACTTGTGTCAATAGAAGAGCAAGTGTGTCCGCACAACCTCCATTAACCTCGACATCTTATTATCCGTTGGTGTTGCTCAACTGACACTGTTCTGCAGTACTTTCGGTAGTTCATCAAGTTGTCGTGATCTTCTTTTGATATTTAGTGTATCATGCCTACTACAGCAGATAGTCAACCGCATACAATCGGCTCGGTGCAGTCTTCTTTCTCCTATTTAAATTGTGACCCCGGCGTTCATACAGCGCGTAAACCTTGTTGAGATGAAATCTCGCTGATCGCGTATACCACCATTTTGTATCAGGTAGGTAACCCCACCGTCGTTGCGATACACACGCACAACAGTATACACTTTTTTCTGCTTCCTTTTTATAATTAGCTAATGAATTGATCTCTCACACGCGATATTACGATATTACAGAGGTAATGCGCTTTGAGAGGTCACAAACGCAAACGACTTGTTTTCGAGGCGGACACTGGATGCGACTTTTATCCGGGAAAAAATCGGCTACTACTACCGATCGCGCCGTAGTACACAATGAACGACCATCGGGAACGCCGTCGACGCTTCGGCGCACGGCGGCATTCGTCCACAGCGTCCGACGATCACTCCAGTGGCTGCCGAGATCTTCGGTATCCACCGTCACTCGAGTTCTCAACTGTCGCGTCCGAGCACACGATTGGCCGACGGTCTGCGTGCGTCCATTTTTCTCCGTCCCATTTTGTTGTGATGGTGTTGAATTTGTACTCACACGTGCGTGTGTTTTTTTGGGTTTTGATTTTTGGTTTTTTGTACGCACGAAACAAAATGTGTCCGTACGATAAATTACAGCGCAAGCGGTGCGTACACTCGTTGTTGGGACGACCAGTACAGCCACCACTTTGACTTTAGCCAAGATGGACACCAACGAGGGACGCATTGTACACAACCCAAGTACCACTCCAATCGCCCCAAAGCCAGTGGACGGAGCATTAGTGCTCCAGGGTCCTCAATCGTGACGATGCCGTCCTCGTCGGCTCTAGCTGGTGTGGCAGACCACGTACTTGTGAAAGTAATCTATTTTTATATTACCTGACCAACGACTGCACTCGACATGGACCTGACGGTGATGTTTTCATCTACTTTTTCTTTTAATTTTATTACCATTTGTTTTGTATATTGCCGTGCAGAATTTCATCCCACCCAAGGCCCATAGTGAGTTCCTGACCAATTTGACCAAGAAAAACACAATGGCGAATCGAGGACCTCGGCCGAGTTCCAAGTTACCCGCGTACCCGTCGTTGGAAGCTGCTAGTGCACCCATTTTGATGAAGAAGGACGTGTCTAGGGTAGCTACAGGACCTGGTAAATGGGTAACTACGCGAGCAAAAGAGCTCGTGATGAAGTCGCGAGTGGCAAAGACCTCGACGGAAAAGAAAGTGAAAAGTGGGCACGATGCACGCAACGACTTGTCGCCAGTAATTAGTCCCTATGCATTGCGGGATAGGACTAAGCTGAGTGCATTTAATTGCTCGCCCACGTCGATGCTGTCGGCCTCGCTGTCGGGTCAGAGCTTGGCGACGCTGAAGAAACGAAAGTTGAATAGCGAAGGATCAGCAGCAAAGCCGATTGCACTGGACTCGGACACTGAGTCGGAAGCAGCAGTGCAACTTGACTTCGGCAGCGACAGTAAAGAAACTGTCGATGACGTGATCGATGACGATGCGAAGGATGGCGCAGTGGACGACTCGGCAGAGCTTGATGTCGATCCGGAGAATATCGTGTCACACGCTGTGGCACAAATCATTAATTGTGACGCAACGATCGGACTGTTCCAGGTTATGGTCGATTTGTTCTTCCAGAGTGATCGGATGTGCATGCAGAATATTCGAGGGAAGTACGAAGAGTGGCCTTTTGAGCAACACTATGTACTGAAACTCAAACACTTGCACGATGTCAGGTGCGTGTAGTAGCTAACTTCTTACTTTGGAGGGGAACCTGCGTGTACATTGACCGGTTGTTGGCTATTTGTAGATCACATATTGGGGCGACAGAAACCGTGGCTACTGCACAGGTTGAAGTGGATGAGGCGGACCGCAGAAGACATTTGCTGGAAAACGCATCGTATATTGCTTTGAGAATGCCGCTGCTCGATCAAGCTGCGTCAGAAGGTTTTTACGATCCCACGGGTTCTGGTATGAGAGAACCTTGTTCGTACACGAAAGGAAGAATGTGACGATCGCACAAATCTGACGTGTTGATCGTTATGAATGGGCTTAGATCTTTGCAAAGGATACGTGGTTTTCTATCCGATGGAGAATGCTTCAGGGAGCAATCTTAGCGACATCATTGATATTCTACGAGGTCACACCGACATCCTGATGATGTACGATGCCGCTGAATTATGTCTGGCAATAGCACGATCTGTAAACGTTACATATATTGTGCTGGCAGAGACGACAAGGAACAAGCAAAGGAATACATCCAAGCTTTGGCACAGCACCGACCTAGTTACAAGTCGGGTCAGCTTTGTCGACGACAAAGTAGCACTGGTGAACCGGACGGGTACGTACGGACTAGTGCTGCTCAATACTGCTTGTAATTGCAGCAAGCTAAGCTATGCGTTTGCTTGTTGCGTCATAGCATATCGGAGTCGGAAGAAGAATGCATTGGTGATAGCATAACTGTCCTAACGTATCCGCTACCACCCTGCACGACTGATGTCGTCACAATCGTTCGCCGCGATGTATCGCGGCTTACCCCGAGACGATACCTGAACGATAACATTATCGATTATTACTTCAAGTAAGTGCGCACAGTGGCTAGCGTATGCCGACTACTAAGCTAGGCGGCAGAATGGATGTGGTACTGATCTCTCGTTTTCCATGTTTCTCGCAGACGCATGATGCTCGAGACGTTTCGAGACCACGCACTTGTTCAGAAAAAGGTGCTGTTTTTGAGCTCCCATTTCTACTCCAGATTACGAGCTGGAAAGGGCGCTACGGCAGAAGCACGGATGAAAGCTGGGTACAAGAACGTGTCAACGTGGCTGTCACGCTCGAGCTTATTCACTCGATCTATTATATTTATCCCGATTAACAAAGAGTGAGTCAAGCGCTGCTGTGTCTTGGTGCCGGTAGATATATGCTCTAACCGTGATTGTTGCGTGTGTGTTTGTTAGCGTGCACTGGAGTCTTGCCGTCATTTTGAATCCTGGTATCGCGGGCTTAGAGTCAAGTGATGAGGTACGACCCAGTGATCAATTGACTGAAGTGTTGTGTCAATCTCGCCAACTCTTGATGAACCCTGTTGATTTTGTAGGACGCCTTTTCGTGTATTGCGGTGCTGGATCCTCTTGGATCATATCATCGTAAAGCATCTATCATTCGAAATCTAAGAGCGTGCGTTGCTATGAGTACACACTATTGGATAAGGTGCTGCCAAGTGCTAACCTCGTGGTGTCTCTGGCTTTGGGATAGCTTTTTGCAGATGCAGTGGGCGAGCTCAGAAGAGCACGTGAGCGAAACTGAAGCAGAGTCAGTATTGGAGTATGGGAGTGATCGCGTGCTGACTTTGAATGTGGAGACGCCACTTCAACAGAACAGCTACGACTGTGGTGTTTACGTGCTGAAGTTTGCCGAAGTGATGCTGAAGAACTGTTTGGATCTTGGGTTACTGGCTCAAAATGACGGAGTGATCAGCAAGGACGTGATTGATAATCACCTTGAAGCATTGATCACATCTAGTTCATTCACTGCTGAGGATATTACTGCTACACGGAAGCAGATTCAGCAGTACATTGAAGTTGATGCTCGTGAGTATCTCTTGCGTAAGGACAAGGCGGCTTCGGAATAAGTACCATATTAACTCTGAAAGTGCCAGTCATCACGAGGAATGGATAACCCAGTTTTGGAAATGCACTCATTTTTATGACTACGCAGTGGAGGTTGAGCAAATGTGCTGATCGATCATTTCTTTTCGAGCCGGCTGAAGATCCGCAAGTGATTTGGCTGCGCTATCTCCGGTGCTATCTAGTTCTTGCCATGGATCCGAAAAGCTCAGCTCGAGAAAGGGATGTATTGTATCAAGGCACAGGAAGGTCAAGCAGACGTTTTATCACCACAAAAACTCATCAAACGCTCGATACCGAGCGTATCGAATAGCGGCTATCGAGGTTACATATCTCGCAGGTACTCGTATCTGGAGGGTCGTGCTGTTGCAAGATAGTGGCGCGTAGGTTACAGGAAGTACGGCGAAAAGATGCGTGAGGTACAGAACCGCAATCAAGTCTGGGGTTAGTTGACTGTTCAACTAACTAGACGGACAGACCTAATCTAAGCACTCTACCTACGTGCACATGACATAGTGTCTATTCGCTGAACGTGACGCCATCCTGTTTCTTACAAGTTACAGGTAAAAGCAGCGGTCGCCTTGGTGATACGCGTAAATCCGACTGCTGCAGTGGTGGATACTTTTTTGAGACCTCTGTAACAGGACACGCCTTTGATCTATGTATCTCGTACAGCAGGGTCACTTCAACTTGAGGCATACAAAGTACAAGTATAAAAGTAGCATCAACATCTTTTGGGATGACATGTAACGTGATTCTGTCAATGCATGTAGTCCATGCTGTCATTGTCGTCTTTGTATTGCGGCAGCACTGCATCATTGAGCCAGCCTTTGGACGGAAACGTGTTGCCTTAATAAGTCGCGTACGTGAAGTCACTGCGCTCGTCACACATGGAACGCACGTATCACAACTTGGCAGCATGAATAAGCAGTCAATGGTGAGATACACAAACTCCCTGTGGCTTGTTAGCTGCGCTTTGCTTCAGACACCAGCTACAAAAGCTGCGCGCGGTATCTAGACGAGCACCTCAGCAGCTAAGTGATTCCTTTGAAAGCATCGAGTGCTGTACACATACACCACAATACACAGTATACCAGAGCCAAGCACTTCTTCATCATCGCTGTCGTTCCTCAGCAGCCTTCAGATACATCTGCATTACTTGTTAGCGTATGTACAACGCTTGCGCCAACTATCAACTCAAAAAAGCGACACCACCATCCTATCAAGACACCAACGTATCACTATCCGTCGTCGACAGTGAACGAGGAAGGCGCTGCTCAAGCAAGTTCAAATGTAATGACATGCGGCAAAATAGACACGTGCATTCAGCTTCATCGACATCGTCCTGCAGCTCTTTTACTTGGCAAGCAGTGCCTTGCGCACTCCTTCGACAAACTCGTCCTCGGGCTTGGTTCCTGCGGCCGGGAACTCAAACTCCGAGTCTGTAATGAGCTCGTAGAGCATAATGTAGCGACGTGCGAGTTCACTCACGAGCTCTTTCGGAGCCTCAGGCAGCACGGCATCATTGTACGGATCACAGTGGTCCTTGAACCACAACCTTAAAAACTCCTTGTCAATATTATCCGGAGACTTGCCAGCAGCCATGCACGCCTCATACGTGTCTGCCAACCAGTACCGACTCGAGTCAGGCGTGTGGATCTCATCCACGAGCAGAATCTCGCCCGTCCCATTGTCCACACCAAACTCGTACTTGGTATCAACGAGAATCAGCCCCCGCTTGGCTGCTTGTGCCTGGCCAAACGCAAAAAGCGCCAGTGCTTTCTCCTCACAAAAAGTCCATTGGGCCTGCGTCATGCGTCCACTCTGTACAATCTCAAGCCCTGAAATCAGTTCATCATGGTCGTCTTTCGTCGTCGGCGTGACAAGATTCTCGGGCAATTGTTGATGCTGTTTGTAGCCATCTGGCAATGAATGGCCACAAAACGTCCGACTGCCGTTTCGGTAATTCGTCCACAGACTCGTGCTGGTGGAACCGGTAATGTAGCCACGCACGACGAATTCCACGGGAAATACAAAGCACTTTTTACACAACAGAGCCGACGCGTGCGGCACGCTCAGCACGTGATTGGCTAAAATGTGCTGCGTCTGCGTGAACCACCACAGACTCGTCAAGGTCAAGACGCGGCCTTTAAACGGCACCGACGCCAGTGCCCGGTCAAAGGCCGACTGGCGGTCCGTTGACACGAGCAACACGCGGTCGTCGTCGAACACGTACACGTCGCGCACTTTGCCGGTGCTTTGGTGGAAAGACGGGACGTCATGGGCGATAGGAGCGAGGGATGTTGTGGTCAGAGCCGCGGCCGTCTCGATCGTGGCCAAGTAGCGCTGCGTGCGCTTCTCGACGGACGCGACGAGCGCGGCGGTAGTCATTTCCGGGTTTGGAACAATGGCTGGCTGGAAACGGTTGGGACGACAGGACGGCAGAATGGTGTGTTGTACATGAAATCAGGTCGCGGAAACAAAGAGCTTTTCTCGAGTGTGGTTGCGCGGCTTGTCTCTTGTCACGAGTGACTTTTTATACCGTTGTCGACGCAAGTCCCGTCTGTGGCTGCGACAAGCTTTAGTTGGCGAAGCGGTTTCGATCAAGGGACTAACGGACGCGGTTGGAGTAAAGTCACTCATTTGGTTGTGATTGCAACGCGAGTGGTATGGTGCCAGGCGCTGTGAAAACATTAGCTGCTTGTTGTAGAGTCCAGTGGCGACGTTGCCTCAATGGCCACAATTGACGTTGAAAAGCTGTTGCGTATTGTACATGTCGTCAGTGACGTTGACACGACGACAAGAGCAGCGGATGGTAATGGTAACTGCTGCTGCTGTTTTATATTAGTACGATAGTTATTGAGGCACAAGACGAACGCTCCAAGAGGTAGTCGCTCCAAAAGGTCGACGAACCTGCACGTAGGCAGGCGCAGATGATGACAAGCGGTTGAACACCAGTTCAGTTCATTGGGCCATCTTGTCGTCCATCCGTCCGGGTAACCATCGAAGAGACTGACGAAGAAGCCAAGCTGCTCGTGCGCGACACAAGTAGCTTGCTGGTCAGTCCGTGGTCGAGGCCTTGACGACACACTCGAGCTGCATCGCGACTTTGCGCTCGTGCGCAGCGCGCTGGAAAGCTCCGACAATGGCAAAGTAGCTCAGCTGTTGTCGCCGGCGAGGCTTGGGGGCACGGTCTCGGTCCTTGCGTCGCCGCTTGTCCAGCTCAATCTTGATGCGGTTGCTGACAGCTAAGAACGCGTTCACCGTCTGTGGGGGCGTCGAAGCTGCTGTCGTTCTGACTCGTGGTCCATCTATGGCGTCGGCCGCTTCGGGTTCCTCCAAGCCGAAGCGACTGCGCTTGGCCACGCTGCGGCCGTGAGCGGGGGAGACGGCAGGTGTGGGCGGGGCAAAGCTCTCAAAGTCACGCTTCAGTGACACTTTGAGCGCCGTCAAGGCGGACGAGAGATTGACGCCGTCGATGGCGGTGGACGAAGGGGACGCTGGCATCGTGGTCAGAGGAGGAGTGGAGAGGGGAGAACACAAGCGAGGGATGGCACGAAAGACGCTCGTGCGTTGGGTGGTACTTGGGTTCATTGGCATGTTGTCCACTTGCACGTCCATTGCAGAGGGGGTAGAGGTGGTGGACTGGTTCAAGTAACTGTGTGTAAATATGGATGTGTCGATATGTGTTAATGACTCAGAAGAGTGGTCGGTCACCCAAGAAGACACCAGCGGTTGTGTGCTGCAAAGTAGAGGGAGCTAGTGCGATAGGGGGTCACCACGAAATGGTGGCAGGACGTGGCGGAGAAGAGCTGGTGGTGATTGCGCTAAATGGGACAAAAGACGCTGTTCTTTCGCGCTTCGTTTCTGTCCGCCAGGAAGCACTTGCGTCCTGGACTGGAAATTGAACAATGAGCACTGCAGGAGCCATCGGCAGAAGAGAAAGTGAGCACTGAACACGGGGACTCGGGACACTAGAAACAGGCCGCGAGCAGGCGATTTGAAAACACGGGGAGTCTCCCTGTTGTCTGAAGCATACAAACTTGCAATCAGATAGTAGTCCCACGTCTCCCTGTTGTCTTGAGCATACAAACTTGCAATCAGATAGTAGTCCCACCGCTCAACTAAGGTCGCGACATGTTTTTCTTAAGTACGACGCGTGACAGTTTCGGCTGGTAGAGGTAAACTTGCGAAATAGGGGAAAACGAGGCTTGTGCCGTGGTTTTTGATTGACTAAAATCAACCACTTTACAACCAATGCAAAACGTGTCCTTTTATTTCTTTTGAACGAATCAGACAATGGCAAAACGGGACGAGCCGTTTCTTCCGTGCTGACTGGACACGCACGATGCAAGAACAAAGTGTGATGTCCGTTTCGCCTTGACAGAGAACAAAGACGAAGTACTTTTTGGATCGAAGCGATTTCCATCAGTTCTGAGCAGGTGATTTCGAGCATCAGCTGCTGAACGTCAATGACCAATGAAGTTGATGGAACGGCACGAATCAAACAGGAGACAGCAGCCCATCCATTCACCGGAAAATAACACTACACGACGCGACGTGCCACACCACAGACGCAAGTAATACAGAACTCTTGCGCAGAACTATAGAAAAGGGGACGGGATGCGCTTTAGTGCCGCGATCGGTACATTTTTTCCTCAAGTTTTACGCATAAACCTCTACAACCTGATTACAATACGCATACTAAACCCAAGATCAAAATAGAGATTTTGAAGTAGCTTCAGTTTCGGACACACGTGAACGACGAGTCCAGTCGCACATTTGAACGTGAAGTACACGCTGCAGGTCTTCCAGCTCTTTTGTTTCGTCGTCTCCCTCTCTCTTCATTCTCGTAGAAATGGCGAGCAAAGAAGCTCCGAACAAACGTACGAAATAGTCGATCGGTAATGACTACTGAGTTTGTGCAATAGTATCGTAAATAATAAGAGCTGTTCCTGTGTTCCGTAATTCTAGCGACTTCTGGCATCGTGTCCTTCGTGACCGGAGGATTTGGCGGTACGTTCCATGAATCGACTGGCTGTCCATTCATTTCGTAATGTGATCATAAATTACGGTAAACCACTTCTTTGTGTGTAATTTCTGTACATGCAGGCGTGTGTCTCGTAGCTACAGGTCATCCTCTCGACCTCATTAAAGTCAATATGCAGACACAGCCAAAACCTCTCCCGGGTCAATCCCCCATGTACGCCAATGCCATTGACTGCGCCCGTAAGATGGTTGCCAAAGACGGGGTACATGGGTTTGATTGTTGAATGCCGAACGTGCTCTTGGTTGTCTGTTGTTAATGTCTGTTTTGTACCATTGGAAATCGTTGTTTGAAACAGATCCGTGGACTCTACCGTGGCATGTCGGCGCCGCTCGTCGGTGTCACTCCGATCTTTGCCACGTGCTTTTGGGGCTACGACATGGGCAAGCTCATTGCGGTACAGAACCTTTTTTGCATTGACACGGGGAAGCACCTGGTGGAAACATTCGTAAGTGATGGTTCTGATTCACTTGAATGTCGTTGTACGGTGTCAATTCAGGTCAAGGCTTCGGGGCAGTCACCTACGACTCCTTTGTCCATGGGACAGGTTATGTTTGCGGGTGGGTTTTCCGCCATCCCGGCCACTGTCGTCATGGCACCTGGTGAGCGTATTAAATGCTTGCTTCAGATCCAAGCGCAGGCTGTAGAACGTGGTGAACCTAAGCTGTACGATGGCATGATTGATTGTGCCAAGAAATTATACCGCACGGGCGGCCTGGCGAGTATTTTCCGCGGATGGGAAGCTACATTGTTGCGAGATGTGCCTGGGTAGGTGATCTTGGTGACTTTGTTTTGTGACTGCCGAGTGGTGACCTCTTGTGACACGTTTCTTGTGTTTTTCTTCTAGTTCGGTGGGATACTTTGGCGGTTTTGAAGCAGTAAAGCGAGGTCTAACGCCCAAGGGTAAGGATCCATCCGACCTGAATGCTTTTCGTGTATTTGTGGCCGGTGGCTTTGCGGGAATCATCAACTGGGTCATTGCTATTCCGCCCGATGTGATCAAGTCCCGCATCCAGACCGCGCCAGAAGGCACGTACCGTGGCATTGTGCACTGCTCCCAGGTGCTCATGAAGCAAGAAGGACCAGGCGCACTGTTCACCGGCGTGGGGCCTGCGATGGCACGCGCGTTTCCAGCGAACGCTGCCTGCTTTCTCGGTGTCGAGTTTTCCAAAAAGTTTCTCGGCTTCTTTGACATCTACTAGGTGCACAAGTACTAGAGCAAGTCAACAAACAATCAAGACTCGACATCACCTTTGTCTCTGGCGTTGTCGCCTTTTCGTGTCTGTATACACGAAACTCAAGGTTGTTCAGCACGAAAAGACACCAACAGTGGCATGAGCTATGACGATCTCAATCAAGTTTCCAGCTGCATCTCGATAGTGCTGGTTATCACTTGAGAAGACTCTTTCGAGAAAAAGCGTCATTGACTTCAGCTCGCGGTTCATCCGTGCCACGGTACAACGTGTTGCTATAGAGCTCGACGACGTCGCTGCAGTTCAAATGAACAAATGCAACAGGACATCAACCAGTGTAAACAGTTTGTCAACAACAACCCGAAAAAAAGCAGCGTAAATAGGAAACAAATGAACAACATTTTGCCCGCTACCGACACAACGAGACGTACGAAATGCGCTTGAGCTCTTCATTTGCCTGAACAATAGCAGCTTCCTGCGCCAAGAGCGACGTGTCAATGCCAGGCAGGGACCGCAGCAGCTCCAGTGCGTCATCGTACTTCTGCTTCACTGCTACTGCCTATACATAGGCCATAGCCAAAGGCAGGCACGACCCATTTGCAGAAAGCAACCAAGTAACCACTGGTCAACCTGAGCTCGACCCTCTCCTTTTCGATCATTTGTTGTTCCTCAAAGTTCATTTTTGTACCGATGCAGACACGTCTCCAATCCGAACGGTCTCCTCGGTGGCAGAGGTGGCGGACAGCACGTCTTTGAGCACGTCAATGAGGTGCGGCAGCACGTCAAATGTCGCATACAACGTGGCTTGGGATGTCGCCATTAGGCTGGAAAAAGACAAGTAGGCTGGCTACCGGTTCAGCTTCCATCGGTGACGCGAGCGATATGCGCGTGGATAGTTTCGTGCTCGTCGAGAGGTTCGACAACCGCGCAACCTTCGTGCACCATTTATCGTCCACATTCGGTACCAATAGGCCTCGGGCAAAGCAAGCAACCAAGCTACGGACAAAAACCACGCTTTGTATAAAAAGACAAACCACTCACAACCTCGTTGGCTGGACGAACTTCATGGGACAAACGATGCACTCACTGCATCGCTAGCAAAAGACTGTGTTGAGGTTTACACGCGTAGAAAACCGCTGCTGCTGCTTCAGCACTTCGTAGGCTCCGTACACTGATCCTATCGATCACTTGGAGCGCTCAGAAAAACTCCACTTACTCTTGCTTCGCAACCGGCACCGCGGCCGTCTTCTTCGACTTGCGCTCACGAGCAGACTTGGCCTTTTCCTTGCGGGCATCCGACTGCTCCTTGAGCGTCTTTTCACGATGACGCTCCGCCTTCATCTTGTGGATCGTCTCCATGAGCACGCGCTTGTTCTTGAACTGGTTACCCTTGCTGCGCATGTAGAGTTCGTGGTAAATGTGCTTGTCAATCTTCTTGGCTTCGCGGTACTTGCGAAGGAGACGACGGAGCACACGAATGCGACGCATCCAAATGACCTTGAACGGCAGACGGGCGTTGGCCGTACCGTGACGCTTACCAATGCCCGTGTGGCGGCCTTTGCGCTTGGCTTCATTGCGCTTCGTAAAGCGCGCCCGCGAGTGGATCACTTGCGGCTTCTTGATCACAAAACCATCCTTCACAAGCTTCCGGATGTTCTGGCGCGAGTTGGCCAGGGCGATTTCGTTCGACTCGTTCGGGTCGAGCCAGATCTTGCGCTTGCCGCACTTGAGCACGGACGCAGCCAGACTGACAGAGAGAGAGAGAAAGGAGAGATTCAAGAAGGGAGTATGTCAACAACCTGTACTGGTATATTGATCGTTTCAAGATGTGGGGGCTGGGAGCACGAATCAACGTACCGCTTCTGGAGTTTGAGTGACACCATTGCCTTCCTTCTTTCAAGTTGTCCCAAAGAAAAAGTAGTGAAGGAGCAAGACGCTTCGTGACGGGATGGACGTACACAAGACGAGCGTGAGCTGATAGGTGGTATACAAACGACAAGGGACGAAAAGAGCTCCTGGTTTTAGAGACGGTCGGCGAAATGACTGGCGGGTAGACACCGACCGGACCGGTTCGGTTTGACAGTCACTAATCGAGGTTGGGCCTTAGTGACAGAGCGCTTTGTATTCGGAGCTCGTGGTGGCGTATCCGGGGTACAGTTTACGCTGTAACTGCATGACAAAGACACAAACGTCAACCACTTGCTTTCGTACCTCGTCACGTAGTTGGATTGTTGGTTACGTACGTACGGCCCTTTCAATCGAGTATGATGCTGAATGTTTAGGAATGAACGGAAAGCACACGAGCAAGAATTCTCCTCGCTCTTCGTATTCAATGTAGACATAGCACTACGATCGCTTTAACGATTCATAGCAATGCGGCCACTGCTGTTTGGTTTTTCTGTGCTGCAGAATGCATCTGTATCGAAGACAGTCTCGGTGTTGGACGCTGCAGACCTTAGTAGTTGCATCAACATATCGCGATACTAAAGAGAGCCACGAACTTACGGCCAAAACCTAGCGACCTCGAAAGAAGTCAACTTGTGCAAGTCCGTCACGAGACACCAACGTATCGAAAAGCATGACAAGGCTGGAGAAACCAAGAGCGGTCAGCGCATATTCAAATGCCATCTATGAAGCGACTGGCTTTGCAGATCAGGTTGCTCTATCTGAAAAAGTATTGGCAGTCCCACGTAGCTACCGAATGAAATCGACACGCGGTGAGCTCTACGAATCAACGACAGTGCTTTGCGCAGCTACGCGCGCCAACTGCCACGAGGAAGAAGCCAGCCGTCAACCTAGTCGCTGAGTAAATGCTCTTGTTAAGTTGTTCCGACTTAGAAGTAAGAAATACTGCAGGACCTCTACCGTCGTCAAGATTATCAAGAACAATGGCGTTGAGCTAAGGCGTATTTCCTGCCAGAACGGTTGGAAGGATAGACTCCAATTCTTAATTCCTGCACAATGAAGAGGGAACAGCAATATCCGTCGTAGTGTCCATCGTCAGAGTTGCAGTGCCTGTCACTTGACAGGAAACAATGGTTGAAAAATGAGCATTCTGCCGGCAAAATGCCAGACTCCCTGGTGCACGTAATCGAGGACCGTGGTAGCGACAGCATCTACGCTGAATACCAGATAAGAAAGAGCCAAGGATCATAAGCTTCAGTCCATCACGCAAGCTCTAGAGAAGAGGGTGGGGACGAAATGAACATTGTGGACACCACGAATGCGATATTGCTTCCTGGAAAGAGAGTGAGTACACGCAGCGCAGCAGATTGGTTGCACGTGCATACAGAAGACAACGGAGTAGCAACACAATGATATGAACAACATGTACGAGTATGTATTTATGAAAGGGTTATCTCGATCCACTACTCCCGTGCCGTGGCTGTGACAGCTCAACCCATAGAGCATGCGATACCGTTGAAACCCTGTACCCCAAAATCTGTTGACACAACAGCGCACACCGTTAGCCTCTCGCTGAACTCAACGCTGAGTTCGTGAATGAAGCAGACAGTCTGACATACCTCCCTTTTCGTCCCACGCATTTGCTACGAGTCCAGACAGCTCCCACTCTTCGAACTGATCTTCCAACAAGTGCTTCACTCGCGAGATTGACGCGCTTGCCTCTGCCACTAGGACCTTTAGTCATGACGATCTTGCCCGTTTAGCCCTCTTGTCCGTCGATGTTGTCGCCTGCTCTCGGCGTTTCAGACCAATGGTAGCTAAAAGTTTTTTTGCTTCGTCGGGCCCGACCACTTTCTCGAGTACCTTAAATGCTTCGTCCTGGGACTTGGATCTCGAAACTAATGTGGACACGTAGCTGGTCAAAGCTAGACGTGTAAGATCAGGAAATTTCTCCTTTGTTTTTTTCTCTACATCGTTTACTGCCCTTAGAGCTACAGCAAACGCGACATCAATAGGTACATCTTCACCACGTGCTCTATAGTAAGCAATGATGGAGGCTGGATCTAATTTCTGAGGCTGCTCGGCGATCGGGCCGGAGCGTTTTGCACCGGTCTTTGAGATCCGTTGCCCAAACAGCTTAATCATGTCCTCAGCCGCGTCCTCAGCAGCCGCCCCGGGGCGTTTGGCATTGGCTTCTATGACCTGCCCAAACAGCTTTATCGTCCCATCCTTACCGAACGCGTTGGAGCTTTTTGCACCGACTTCCATGATCTGCCCAGCCAAGTTTACCCTCTCTTCACCGTCCATGACTCCAAAAGTTCGCAACCTCCTTTTGGCGACGGTGTCGTCGGTGTCAGTGACAGTCGCCGACGGTGAGTGGGCAGCGACTGTCGTAGAAAAAGCGGACACCTCCGAAGAACTCTTGGAGTACGCCAGGAAGGCTGCTGTAGCCGCGAGGCCGGTGACGTAAATGCGCATCGGTGACTGTCGCTTGTAGTCGATGTACCGGTGGGGACGCAAATTGCGGAATGACAATTGTTCGAGACCAGCCAAGGCTCGAAGCAGGCTGTCGACGGTGCAAGCTCGACGTTTTCGTGTTGAACGCTCAGGCTCTTTTGATACTTCTCCTCGTATCGCAGCAAGCCGCAAACCTCCAATCGTGCTTTGTGCCCATGGCGTCGTCTGTATGATCGATGGCGTCGTCTATATGTACGATGACGTCCAAACTAGAAGACGACGGTCTCTTTTTAATGGTCCAGGACACCATTGGGGAAGGTGCAATTCCGATGTTGCGGTCGAACGTGCGGTCGAACGTGCGGTCGAATACAGCTGCTGCTATTCTTCACACGATGCGGGAGCTCAACAACGCACAGACATCTTGCGTGCTGTTAGTGTACGAGGGCACGTCTGCTGTGATGCCAAAGTAAGTAGCGAGACAACCCGAGAGTCGCCATGTAAGGTGACAAGCTCCGTCTAGCCACGGACTTGCAAGGGGGAATGGCGTTGCCAACCAGACCAAAGATACGTCAGACGTAGGTTACCATGGACACGTCAACTTGTCGCTCGATCTTGTATAATAGATATCCATCCAGCCTGTAGACGCGATGCTTCGTCAAATCCGCATTCTTCTTCGCCAGTCTTACGAGCCTACGAATGACAAAGCAAATAGCGACTGCATGCCGGTCGGTAGGCCACAACAGGTCTCTGACATTCGTGAAGCGATTCGTCTGATGCACACCTGCTCCTCGACCATGTCGATCGTGACATCTGAAGTACTCCGTCGAGCATACGAAGATCGATTTGAGTGCCAGGAACCAGGAGTGCAGTCTAGCGCTGCGCAGACGTCCAATAGATCGTGCGTCACTCGATGCCGAACCACCAGCCAACTATGATAGGCTTCAAGGACCAACTTTGCGCATAACTGAAGTAATGACAACCTGCGCGTTGGGTGCAACCCATTGCGGTTATACTTCGCATCACGCTCTACCAGCTGAAAGCTACGAGTGGAAGAAAAAGGTTCACGTATTGGATCTATCGGTACTGTGTTTCTCTTCATCGGCTAAGTAAGTGCTCGTGGTGGGATATGCCCAGTGAGCTGCGGTCTATCGTGAGAAACAAACTCCTGCCCACGACCATGTTGCTTCACTCATAGGTTGTCCTCGGTCGTGGTATGATCCTGATCGTGACAATCGAAAACGGATTCGTAATATGAGCCCAAGGTAGTAGGGTGACTTTCGAGCCTTTCTTGTACGTAAAATGGGGCAGTCGATGCCATCCGTGTGTTGATGAAGATACGCCTCGTCGAGCGAGCGACGAACAAACGATACATTCTGGTGATTAGTAGCGCGCCTATCCCGTGAGTTACACCAGTAGTGTAGATTACGCATGTGCGGCTATCTGATGAGTAATGTGTATAGAGTAGATTACGCATGTGCGCCTATCTGATGAGTAATGCGTGACTATCTGATGAGTAATGTGCGTCGTGTCGATTACTGTTGTATAGTCGAAGAATCCATTAGGCTTGGAGTAGCAAGAAGAAGTTGCCAACTAAGAACCTAACTATATTCACTTTGCATTTGCATTCACGTCGACAAGCACCTTTCCAACAATCCGTTGTGCGCTGATTGCGCATATGAAGATAGTCAATGTGGCCGTGAGTGCGCTATCGTGCTCGTTCAACCTATTATAGGGCTGCTCACCTCCCGCCTGACCATGTAGGAAGCAGCCACGCGTGATGCTGGTGCCTGGTGTCATCTAACTCACCATTTTCTACGTTGGTAGGTCCAGTAAAGTCCGGTTATGATCAAAATATTGTTGTCGTGACGGAAACGACATGCCTTCGACAATGGCGGCGTGCGTTCAATCGACTGCAACGCGTACGGCCTTCATCTCTTGAAGACGTATGCTTTTATAGGTGACTTGAGTGGAATTTAGAGTGCGGCAAGTGACCACTCTATCGTTCGTCTCTAGATAATCGATCTCCTCAGAGGATACTGACGATGCTGTAGTGGATAAGTATAGTAGCGTTTGCCAGTATTCTTACTTTAAGCATCGACACCACGTGCTTGTTCACTCTACTTCGCCATTAGCAAACGAATCGTAGCTACCTCACTGCTTCCAATGACGTCAACAGCATAACAGCACGACACCAGCCTCACTTCCTACGATGAGTGCAGTGTGATGAAATGGCAGAGTGATGTGACTAACGTGGACGATCGAAACGATCTGAAGCCGAGTGCTGCTGTAGTCAGTTGGCCGTTCAAGACACGACTGAACTAATCCTGACAAACTGTCTCCTGTCACCGCACTGTGTACAGCAAAGTCTTCGCTACGGACGGGTTCTGAAAGAAGCGTAGTAGTACTAATCGATCACTACTGCTAACAATGGTTTGTCGTCGTATTTACCTCACCCCGTTGGAAAGTTCGTCGATGTCCCAATCCAGTACGTGTAGGACTTGGTGTCGGAAACGACTACTGCATGTTGCATGACTCTGTACCACCACCCCAATGTGATACAGATGCTAGGTCGTCGACTGAACAAGCATGCATGAATGACGAAGATTGTTGTCGCTTGCAACGAAAATGCTCCGTTTGGCTCACCAGGAAGACGCATCTATATGAACTCGTGCACGCGCAGATACATGCGGTCCTTGATGTCGTCGACGAACGACAGAACCTCTGCATCCTTTGTGAAAGAGTGATGGCGTGATGTTAGAGGTCACACGTATGTGATGACAACTGGCAGGACTTTTGCAGGGTGAATACCATGATATCGCGAGTGTCGGGTAGGCGTGATGCGGATATTAACCGTTGAAGTAACGTTCTGGTGAGAAAACGCTCGCGGGATCCACCACGTAGCACAAAATTTTGCCGTGGTGAATCTGGCACCATAAGTGTGGTCGGCTTACCATGCCAGTTCGGACAGCCATGTCAGGTCTCCCAGTAGTAGCACTGAGCTTTTGAAGAGTCATATCTTGTTCTGTTCTCTATCTAGTGTGCTTTCGCAGGCCCTGAATCCCTCCCTCATTTATCCTCCTGTACTCATAGCTCGTCTCACACATCTACTAGGCTCTATCTACGACACATGCACAATGAGGTCCACTGATGCGGAAAGCGCGTTACTTCTTGCCAAGATTGACATGGTGTACGAAGAGAGGCTTCGAGATGCATCGAGATACGGCACACGTCTTTCGGCGAACGAAACTGAGGTGGCTGACTGCTGTACTTTTTGGGATTCGATAACAAAAAATATTGCAGCCGTGAACGCACAACGTCTAGCCGATACAAAGCCATAGCGGCACACGATTGTAAGTCCCGACGGACAAGGCTACGTGTAATGAAATAGCAACCGGATAGGATCAATTGTCTGGCTTTGAAATGAACGCTGAGTAGAAGAGCTCACACACGTACGATCTCGGAAGAAGGCCGTTCACACACCATTTATAAGTTAGGGGAGCAAGCACCGGACTTATGTTGATATGCGTAATCCAGGCTAGAGACCTGAAAAATTAAGTTTTGAAGATTCATTTCTCCGTTCGGGTACTTAGCGTCTGAGAAATGGGTTAAGCATTGTGTAGAAAAATAGAAGTGCTGTCAAATGTCAAGTCGTGGCAACGATCGTCATCGTAGATGATGTGTTATAGAGATGAACATCGATAATAGGTAGACGGAGGATTATCATGTCTGGCAAAGCGATTGAACAACAAAGTGCGACTGATGACACGTAATTGATTAATTAAAAAGGGGGTCATCCTCTGCCACCGATAGAAAGCGACGACCAGAACTTCTTAATAATTCAGTATATCAAGTCTCACAGATTTAGAATACCTCACACTCACCGTTTACCGGAATGGCAAGACTTGTGCTGAGCCGAAGCGTCGAGCATTTAAAACAGAACAGATATGATAATTGATCTTTGATAAAAGGCGAGAAGGTCGAGCATTTGCTATTTGCCCTGTGTTTGACCTTGACCTCTCCTGATTCAATTACAATCAGGCGTTACACGCACACTACGTGGTCACAATCAGCCACCGAGTCGAAGAGTTGTACCTCTCATGCACATCTACATACGGAAGAGTAGACAGGCCATATCGCACTTAGTAGGGCGTGTGGTGTGCATTTAACATTAATAATAGACAAACGTTAATAAAGTAGGTTTAGAGAGCTCGACAGTCACCTTGCATAGACCCATTACAGCTTTACCTGTAACGAAGCACCCTGAAGCTTGTACTGATGACAGTACAAGCTACGTAATCTGACGACAGAATAAGACGGTACCTCGGAACTTCACGTACACTGGTACGTGCAGAGGAAGACGGTAAGGAGAAGCGAGTACTTGATTAAAGTAAAAAGCAGAACTGTGTTTATAATAGTTAATGTCTGTTAACGAACCACTGTTTATCCTCATCTAACTGTGTCTGAATAAAAATGTGTAAATCAACTATCTGCTCACCACTCATTGCGTGCGTCTGTCGTGGCGCGTCTTCGTTGGTTGATATAATGGCCTTTATCAACCAATTAGGAACTACTCGTAAGTGCTGCAGAATATTTGTCCTTATGACAATATTCTGAGAATATAACTCTTATAGTTATATTCTATTACCAATTTCTTATAAATTGTTATGTAACGGTTCACGCCGTTGCATCACCCCCCCTAAACCATCAGTCACTTAAGTGACTGATTGACTAAATGGATATTCGTCCCAAATCATTTGGGACAGGGTTTGCACTTGTTGGTCCGAGACTACATTCCAACAATTTTTATCGCATGGTTAACAAGTCCACGCGGTGCGCAACCAAGGCAGCTGAGAGCGCGTCTGCACGTCTCTGTGCAGACGTCGAAGCAGAAACCGCTGCAACTGATGCGTCATCTGTTGCTGAAGCGTCTCACCTGCATCACCAGATGATACAGACTGAGGTCTGTATCACCTGGTGATGCAGGTGCTCGTTATGAAGACACTCATGTCGTCACAGAGTATGAGCTCGTTGTCTCATACTCTCCTGATACGGAAGAGGGATCCGTATCGAAGGCGGTTGAAACCAAGCCGCCTGCCAAGCGTGGCATGGATGATGCTACGCGTCGTAGCATCTTTATTTCGTCTGACGAATTAGACGAACCATCGCCAAAGCGAAGGCGTTCGAGATCGCAAGACTCGGGCGCTCACAGTGGTGTCGGTTCTCCTTTGGACACCACTTCGCAACGAGGTGCCAGTACTTCTGTCGGCACGTCGCAGGAAGAGTGGGACCGCAGCGTGTTGCGTCTCGCTCCCGAGAAGAAAGCATGGCTGCCTCTACAGTCAGCCATGGATCGCTTGTCGGCAACGACGAGTGATCGTTATCGAACACGGTTGTTCGATTTGTCAAGGATCCATCACCTTGACCCCAGTGCGAAAGACTATCGCACTGAGAACGATTTCTTCATCGATGC